TTTTCAAAATCTTAAATTGCAAGTTGTGATCGATTAGCTGAGCATTGAAATGATTTTCACAATTTGCAAAGTGTAATTAGCTTGAATTGGAACGTAGCATTATATTACATTACATGGCAATGTCATTAATTATAATAAGCTCTATCCAGTAAGTTTTTGAGAAATATTTTTAATTTACCCATATTTGAGTGTGATATGATATCATCATGCCTATATATGGTAGTAAAGTAATGCTGACAGAGTTTTTAAACTTACTTGTTTCCATTTGATAACTTATTGAGGGAGTCTCTGGAAATGGCATGTCCACAAGCTAAACGCATGGCAGGATTGCTCTCGGTGCTCTGTTGTCGTAGGATGGGACATGCGAACAATGAATGATACCGGTATTCATTACCCAAATCAATCTCAATCTGAATACAGAGCAATTTCAATTGTTACATACTGGATGATTTTAAAATAGTGCATTCAACCATGCATTGACATATCAAGGAATATTTACATTTAGGTGGGGGCAAATAAGGTTAATTGGAGTATGTTCAGCAGTGGCGGATCCTGGAATTGAAATAGGGGGCCCAGAAAGACATTTTTAGTTTGTAAAGATGAAGGGTACAGACCACATCAGCCCACAACTTTGTATTTAATGCGTCTGGCACTTCTAGATGGTGGGAAATGGCACTTCCATACCAAAAATATAAAATATAATTAATGTAATTTACCGGTAGTTCATCATTAGAACACCATACACCAGTGCACTGTCTCTGTTGAGATGTGTATAAGAGACAGTTGTTGTACAGTATGTATTCCTATGTACAGTATACATGCTGTCTCTTATACACATCTAGATGTGTATAAGAGACAGCTATTGGGGTCACTAAACTTGCCCTTTTCAACAGATATGGATGATACTTCAAATCTGGATACTTTCCAGCTTCATTCTCTTCAACCTTTACCAGAATTAGATATGCCAGAAAACCAATAATGTCTGGGATGTAGTCTTTTTCAACAGATATGGATAATACTTCAAATTTGGATACTTTCCAGCTTAATTCTGTTTGATCTTCACCAGAAATAGATATGCCAGAAAACCAATGTAATATCTTCTGCAAACCTCTCGAAATACAGGAGAATCTTTCACACTTATCTGAAAACAAACCCATCCTCCCCCCCCCCCCTCCACACAAATTCATTGATTTCATGTCTTTATAACTGTCATCGTTTGTTCCTCGTCACTACATGGAACAAAATAAAATAATTAGAGTGCTCATTAAACCAGATCTGTCAGTTATCATCTTCCTTCAACTTGGAATACCTGTAATTTTCTCTTTAGGCGAGATTATTTTTATACCTTTTTTTGCAAACTAATTTTTTTAAAGGTCGTCGAGGAGGGAGAGCAGAAAAAAAAATGTAAAGAAAATTTTCGTTTCTTATTTAACAAATAGACGGAGAAAATTAAAATAAAATTCTATTTGTGAATGTAAACAGTGTAATAATTGGATGGTTAAATGCTTTAATTCATATAATTAGAAATATACGCATCATAAATTTTTGAGATTTCAAGGCAGCAGTGAGTGTTATAAAAATAAAAGAAAAACTGGGTTTTTTTTCGTGTTGTTGGGCATTAATTGTCCAAATATAAAAGTTTGTTTTTATGCAAAATCAATATTGGCGGGTGGCAGGTTTGCTAAACAAGGTAAAAAAAAAAAAGACTCCCTTTATCCATTAGCCTTAGGTTGTATTCTTCTTCATCAAATGTATTCATTTGCAAAAATTGTTAAGAATTTGTCATTGACATATTTTATGAAATTAAAACAACTGAAACTAACATTTTGTATGTTATTTTGTTGTACAGTATGTATTCCTATGAACAGTATACATGAGCTGGTGATTCTGGTGATCGGGAACAGCTGTCCCTAAACCGTACAGAAATACTCTGTGGTATCAATTCTGAAGAAAATTTTCAAACATGTAAACAGTACAGTAAATCACTCATTTAAAACAGCGTTCTGCAAACCTGTCGATCGATGACAAACAAATGCAGTTGGGAAGTGCAAGGTCTATATTGTCCTTATGCTATGCAACTTGTGTTTACAGGTAATTGCCAAAACCTGTGCTTTTAGACCCCTGGAAATCTGGTTACAGCCCTTACGTTATTGTGCAAAAAAAAATCTCTTCTTAGCAATAACTTAATATACAAAGCATAAGCAATTCCTTTGTGTTTGTTAGCTTAACACGTTATGCAGTGGCGTATTTAAGGGGGTTGGGGTTGGAGAGAAAATTATAATCAAGTTCAGGTCTGAGAGTTCCATTTCTGTCCGCCTAGAGGTGCCATAATCATAAATTTTCCCCAACTATCAAGGTGGGGCTGAGGTGATCTAGACTCTTTATTTGGACCTTGTCTATTTTGTATTCCTGGATCCACCACTACATTATATGCTTATTTAAGGAGAAAATAATCTCACTCTTAACCATTGTTTTCATCTACCATTCCCACTGAGACAATTTCATAACAAAAAGAGTCCGAGATTAGATTTCAATATAATGTATCTATTTTTTAATATTAGTTTAACAAAAAATGAAATTATATTAACCTTTTCGACAATTCTCTCCTGACTATAGGATTTACATTCAGATCACCATCATGGTAAAGTACCATCAAGTTGGACATACTCAGGCCCGTAACCAGGTTCATTAAAGTGGGGGTATGCTACAGACCAAGTTCAACTCGGACAAAATACAGCACTACTACAGTATAGTAGTAAACTGGTCAAAAAAGAAGGGTTGGCTTAATGCCAAAACCCCCACCACACAGGTTATGGGCCAGATACTGTTATAATTTATTTTGAAAATATAAAATAAATATCAAGAATGTATATGCTGTGACAATATAGTTAAAGCAGGAAGATACAGTACCAGAGCTGTGGTGCATCCTTCATAAGAATTATTTCTTTGTTTACAATAGCTAGGTTATTTTAGTGGCAGAATCAGGTGGTGAGAAAGGGGATTTATCCCTTCCCTCCAGCAGCAGCACAACAATCTAAGTGTGAAATTACGTAGAGATAATAATTTTTGTAACTTCAGAGCTGGACCCCACAATAGGTAAGGGAACACCCAAACCTGCCCTGCCATGTACCTATGTCCTGCACCCTGACCACCCCCACCCATCCCTACTCCTCTGAACATATCTGTCAAACATATGTACCAAACACTGAACTAATATCAAGGCATGTATCAACGACATAAGCCTAGTAAACAACTTCACGCTAAAAATCTTCTGTGATGTCTGTTTCTCTTACATGGATATTACACAGGATGTGAGATAATCTTGCAAAACGCACATCCACATGGGCAGTGGTGTATTCATTTGCAAAAATTGTTAAGAATTTGGAGAAAAATCATTGACATATTTTATGGTATTAAAACAACTGAAACTAACATTTTGTATGTTGTTTTGTTGTACAGTATGTATTCCTATGTACAGTATACATGAGCTGGTGATTCTGGTGATCGGTAACAGCTGTCCCTAAACCATAAACCATACAGAAATACTCTGTGGTATCAATTCTGAAGAAAATTTTCAAACATGTTTAAAACAGTACAGTAAATCACTCATTTAAAACAGCGTTCTGCAAACTTGTCGATTGATGACAAACAAATGCAGTTGGGAAGTGCTAGGTCTATATTGTCCTTATGCTATGCAACTTGTGTTTACAGGTAATTGCAAAAACCTGTGCTTTTAGACCCTGAACATATCTGTCAAACATATGTACCAAACACTGAACTAATATCAAGGCATGTATCAACGACATAAGCCTAGTAAACAACTTCACGCTAAAAATCTTCTATGATGTCTGTTTCTCTTACATGGATATTACACAGGATGTGAGATAATCTTGCAAAACTCACATCCACATGGGCAGTGGCGTATCTAGAAGTCTTTAAATGAAGGGGGCGCGCGCTGATGGGGGAACAAAGGTGAAGTGGGGCCTTGATGATCAGTTGAGGGGTGCTAAATCGCAAAATATGGTGATTTTAAATATTTTATCGTTATTTTTGGGAAACTGGGGAGGGGGCGACTGGGGAGGGGGAGCAGGTAATTTTTGAGGAGCATGTACCCACTGCGCCCTTCCCTAGATACGTCACTGCACGTTGGTTGCAGGGGATGTGTGCTAAATTTTCCGAAGCATGCATCCTGTGTCAAACTTAGCCTCATGTGAATCAGGTATTAGTTTGAGCCAAAAAAAAATTTTTCCTACAAATATATCTTTTTTACATTATTTACAATTTAGCAGTAATACAATCGATGTTTGTATATATTGGTCTAACGTTTTCTTTATAACACAGTTGAGTTTCTTTAAAACCATGACAATACAGACAGGGCCAAAAAAAAAAGGAAGAAATGTGTTATGCAACCACACACTGAAAATAAATTATATAAATATAAATCTTTTACCCTAGCCCTAACTATAAGGATCACATTCTTTGTGTATCTAGGTAACAGGAGTAGTAGATGTTTGTAAAGTGGTTAAAATTTATATTACATTATTTAATACTATTATTTTATAAAATAATGAAATACTAACACCCAGGGCTGAAACAGGAACCATCTCACAGCCGTCAACATTGCAAGTTTGGTATCTCAGCAATTATCAAACGACCCAAAATTTTGGTTGGTAAAATGGCTAAAACCTATGATTAAAGTACCAAATATATAATAGCAGCTTCAAACATCACAAAAGTATTTTGGGTTAAACAATACTGATTCTTGACTTTCTAGAATTTGGATTAGATGGGCTTGGTCAATACAATAATTTTTTTTGGCCTAGTTCCCTTAATGGGTAACTTTTGTTCTAACCTGTGTTGTTCTTGTACCAAAAGTAAACTTATGAAATAAGATGTAAAATAAAATGATGTGATGCCTGTAAAATCACTCAAGATTGTATTGGTGGAATTGTTGCTAGAGTTGCTAGGTTGCACACAACAACAGCTTCAACATACGCAAACATATGGATTTGCGGGACAACATGTGTGTTTGTGGGAATAGCACATATTCTAGCCCTGTTCCAATTGGTCAGTTAAGTTTGACCGACACACCGGATAGGTCCATTCTTCGATACTGCTTTCAGAAATACAATTGCTTTGCGTGAGATGGATTGGATTCTATAGGACAGTACGGACACTTGATTCTGAAAAGACAAATAGAAATATAATATTATTTAATTTCCTCATATATTAGTTACTAGCATAAAGTAGGATATCTTTGTAGCCAAGGGCTTAACTATACATAAAGACTTGAAATAACATATGATTCAGATTCAATATTGTTCATACTATATTGATATAGCAGTGAATACATTTTAATGAACCTGACTTCGGGTGTCTTTTCAAAATCTCAAATCGCATGTCATAATCATTGATTGGTTGAGAATTTAAACGATTTTCCCGACTTGCGAAGGTGATTACCATAATCACAGGTGAATTGGTCGAGCTTTCTTTTCAAAATCTTAAATTGCAAGTTGTGATCGATTAGCTGAGCATTGAAATGATTTTCACAATTTGCAAAGTGTAATTAGCTTGAATTGGAGCATAGCATTATATTACATTACATGGCAATGTCATTAATTATAATAAGCTCTATCCAGTAAGTTTTTGAGAAATATTTTTAATTTACCCATATTTGAGTGTGATATGACATCATCATGCCTATATATGGTAGTAAAGTAATGCTGACAGAGTTTTTAAACTTACTTGTTTCCATTTGATAACTTATTGAGGGAGTCTCTGGAAATGGCGTGTCCACAAGCTAAACGCATGGCAGGATTGCTCTCGGTGCTCTGTTGTCGTAGGATGGGACATGCGAACAATGAATGATACCGGTATTCATTACCCAAATCAATCTCAATCTGAATACAGAGCAATTTCAATTGTTACATACTGGATGATTTTAAAATAGTGCATTCAACCATGCATTGACATATCAAGGAATATTTACATTTAGGTGGGGGCAAATAAGGTTAATTGGAGTATGTTCAGCAGTGGCGGATCCTGGAATTGAAATAGGGGGCCCAGAAAGACATTTTTAGTTTGTAAAGATGAAGGGTACAGACCACATCAGCCCACAACTTTGTATTTAATGCGTCTGGCACTTCTAGATGGTGGGAAATGGCACTTCCATACCAAAAATATAAAATATAATTAATGTAATTTACCGGTAGTTCATCATTAGAACACCATACACCAGTGCACTGTCTCTGTTGCATAACATGCTTGATGTTGTGTAAGGCTGGGATGGCAGCGCAGCCTGCATTCAAACTACAAGAAAAAAAAAATTCATTGTAAAATTTTCAATTGTGAAATAAAAATTTGTTTAAGTGAAAAATAAGTATATTTGGGACTGATAACACATTTACAAGTGGTAAAATATAGTTATAAATACCTAGCACCACATTTACAGCTGGTAAAATGAAATTTATAAACAGCAGCACCACATGTGCAGGTGGTAAAATCAACTAAATAATATAGCACCAATTGTATACACATGGAGAAAAATGAAGATACTGTATGTATATTACCAGCGCATGTAATAATAAAAACATTTATTGAGAACCACCTCGACCTGGACAAATGGCTCAATAAGGACATACATACCTGACACTAAGGGGACTGTCTATAGATAGTCCCAGAAGACTACAGGCATCTCTTGTGAAGATGTCGCCAATTTCCAACCAGGAAACCTGGTCAAGAAGATGGACATACGGTGAGTTCTCCAACCCCTGGCGGACAAACAGCAAGCTCCCCATCAGAATCTGTAGCTCTGAATAAGCAACAGGTAGAAAAAACAACCTCGAATTTATTTTAAAAAAATTGTATGTTATGATGTTTCTATAAGCATGTACAGTATATGTTGGGGCTTTCTTGTAAAACATCTAAAAAGGCTCACTTCAATATGAATAATATTCCTGATTTGTTTCTCTAAATTAGTAATCGGATGAAAAACAACTTGTTTTACCTTGTTCATGGCGCTCTGCAAATGGAGCAAAATTTCTAGAATATAACAGAGCCTCGCGTTGATTTTCAGGACCTTGCTTTAACAATTCAATAAACTGTAATCTATGAAGTTTAAACTCTAAGGATGACCTTTGCGCCTCTAGTCGTTCACGATGCATGAATGTCCACCTAAATAAGAACAAGAAAAAATAAAATTTGACCAGAAACAAAGAAAGTTTATTATAAATTTATAAGACAAATGACCCTTCAAGATCTAGAAATTACAACACAATATATTGGACAATTCAAGTTCTATTGCACAGAGGCGCTGTGCAATATGCTATATAAATGTTATTTAATATTATTAATTTTGTTAATGGTATTATCCCTTGTTGTTATAACATTTACTTACTGTAGTGCTGGCTGTAAATTCCTCTCTTTCAATGCAGATAATATTCTATTAATTTCTATAAATGGTTCTTTCTTTTCGTTTTCTATATCTAAATGTGCATCCTGAAAGAGAGAAAAATAAACTGTTATACTGATACATCTTCTATCCTTATTCTTTACAATGGTCATGTGATGAGGTCATGTGATGTGGTTGGCTTGTTTCAGGACATGGCAGAGGCTAGCTGGTTGTTTATTTTTTCACTTTTTTTTGCTAAGCTTATGTCACGGCCATTATGACTCCACTTAACTGACCTTAACTGACCTTTGGCAAATGGCTGGCAACTTGGCAACATAAGTACTTTTATCTACAGCCTGAAGCAACATCATACAAGTGATTGAAATTGGTCATATAACACTAACATAACTGTGACATGCGGCATGCTAACAACCTTGTATCCAATTATGGTAGCATTGCATGACACCAGTCAGAAAATACATAAGCGCTCTGGGCAACTGGGGGGGGGGGGAAGGAACCCTACTTTTAAACTAATTACAATAACAATCTTTCCCTCCACCATGAGTTCAAATGGGTACCTGGTAAATATGAAAAGAGCACCGATTACTAGCTGCACATTAAGAAATTCTCCCCAGGAAGGGCTCCAATGTTATTACGGAGGGTAATAATGCGAAGTGTATAAAAGCCGTGTTAGCATGAACTAAATATGACAACAATCTTGGTTGGAAATTGTGTTAGGCCAGAAGATACGCAGGCTCTTGGTATGGAATGTTGAGAGTTTGGTTATGTCGTCCTTTGTAATACGCAAACATTCTGATCCATACAGAAGGGTTTGATCCAAAGACTGGAGGTAATAATGCGAATTGCTTAGAAGCCTTGTTGGCATGAAGGGCTATGTTATTTATATAGTATATTTAGTAAACCAAATTTTGGACACTTACCTTAATAAGAGCATCAGCAATGTCTAACATTCCGTGTCTTAAGAAATGTTCACAAATAACCTCGTTAATTAGCTTCATTTTTTCAGGTACATCAATTGTGGAATCTTCTGACATACTAGAAAGATCACTGTAAAAATTCTGTAAATTTAAAAAGTCAAATTCTATTTATTGGAGGAATATAGATCACATGTGTTTTTAACTGTTTTTATTAAATTTATGAACAAAGTATAATCATTTAAAAAATTTGATCAGATTAAAATAGCTTTGACTATTTCCATTATTATTACTTGAAAATTATCTTAAATTTTTCAATTAATAAAATATGAAAATAACATTCATAAATTTTCATCAAATTAAGCTACACATAATCTAAAGCTGTGTCTAGATTCTCAAATTTTCTTTGACAAAAAACTGTTGTATGCCCATATTTAGTCTTGATGTGCCTATATATGGTCATGATGTGATGTCATCATGACCATATTTAGGCATGTCACATGATTTTAATCAAATAAAATTTGATAGTCTGGACAGAATTTAAAAGATCAAAGCAGATGGAAGTTGTTTCACTATTAATTTGGAACTACTGTATGATTATTCATTCATTGCGTAAAATGGGACAAATTTTAAGAAAATGGGGGCTAAATTATTTGAATTTACGCGAAAAGTGTATCCACCCTGATATTGTCCCACACTGTTTAAAAATCCTGGCTACATCATTGAAGGGGGACGACTTTGTAAGTACCTTATCAATTGCTTTTCCAACTTTAGAGACACTGCTATGAAGCTCCTTGTGGTCACTGCTAATTTTCATGGTACTATCTTTAACTTTCTTCATTAAATCCCTCAACATTGATTTATGTCGTGCTCCAATTTCATCTTCTGAATTTGATGAACCTACAATTTACAAAAAAAAAAAAATAAATAAATAATACTCTGATATTCAAAGATATCATTAACATTGTCAATAAAGCAAGGTCCAGGCTGGGTATTGATTAGTAAATAGAGTTATTAAGAATACAGTACAGTACATAAGTAACAGTCAGTAAACTAGAGACCAACCACAATCATAATGCACAATCTAGGCTAAATTTTTGCATGCGGGATATATTTCCTGTGCAGAGCTGGCAATAGACTATAGTCTGGGCCCCGTATCTAAATTTGATATGAATGTCAACATCAGAGTTATGTTATGTGCATGCGTGGTCGGCAAAATACAGTTATTAATTAAGTTGTTTTATTTAAATCTAGGGTTTGTCCAAACAAAGTAAAATGTAATGTTCTCTCATTCTCTTTATTATTTACACTCACTACCAAGAGACGCGGATGCCCATTTAATGTAAACCTTGGCTAGCACGAATTCAACGACTAGTTTAGGCTAATCCAGACAAAAAGTCAGACCCTAGAAATAACATGTCCTTGGTTTGCCTAGGCCCTAGGATAGGCTATCCTATACTAGCCTAGGCCTAGCCTAGGCCCCAGGACTAGCTAGGCCTAGGTAGGCCTAGGCCTAAGTCAGGAAAAAATCGGTAAGAAAATAAGATGAATGGTCTTCAAAGCAAAGATAGTCGTACATCTCAGTAACTTTTCGCGTATCTCTTGTAAATTCTGTAGCATATAATCTGTTTCTCTTTCAGAATAATTTTGTACAACTTGAAATTTTCCGAGGACTTTGTCCACTTCTCTCTCGACCGTAAGACAAGCATCCATTTTTGGTGATGAACAAAACAAAGAATTGCAGTATGGGATATAGAGGGTGCTATTTTGGGAAACCAGTAGTAGAGAGTTCTTTGGAAACCATTCGAACGACCGACGAGAGATGCCACTTCGAGAGGATGCCTTACCTTTCGAGGGAAAAAGGATTCAGCTTTGTGAACCCTTAACTTGTTTGCGCCGAATTTCCTATTTTGATCGAACATTTATAATTTTTGCTGGATTTTCGCCCTCTTCGGATTCAAATTTGCTACAACTTAGCTGTTTTCTTCTGACAACTTTTTATTGGTTACAATAGCCTTTTTCTGCTGATAATAGATTGTTTATTGATTTGTTTATACTGTAGATTGTTTTTACACAATATTTGGCACGTATCTGTGAGCCAGCTATTGGGACATGGACAGTCCCACACAAATTTTCTATTGGGAAGAATGGGTCCACAAAAATGGGTTCAAATATGCAGTTTTATACGTAATTAAAATTAAAAGGTTCCTCATTACTTTTCATAACTTTTTATATTCACAAATATATATTTAGATTTTATTATTCAATCCTGTAAAGGGTGACTTTAATCACTGTTGGCCTTTGAATAATAATTAAAAAAAAGAAAAAAGGTCTGCATTCTACCCATCTGTATTTAAAGTGCAAAATCTTGTCTAGTCATTTTACTCTTACTAATACCACATAAGCTATCCAATGATGTTAGGACCTACATTGTTGTGATGAAGGCCATTTACAAACAGGGCCTACTGCAGCATAGGCCACAGTTATAGATTAAATTACATTTACGATTACAATCATGATTAAAATCCCCCCCCCCCTTTTACCACAAAACGCGACTGATTGTGAACACACTGTAAACCGTGAATTCAGAATGAAATATGCGCAATTTAATAATATAGTTCTTGTTAGGTCGGATTTGACAAGACCGTAATCCAAACATGAAATAATTATTAAAAGTAGCAAAAACCTTGTTATACAGTGCATTCTGGCATTAAAACAATAAAATTCGACCTTGTTATAGTCAGTGGCTTATCTAGAGAGGTGCGCGTGGGAGGGGGGTTGCGGCGCACCCCTTCCAAAAAGTACTCGCCCCCCCACTACACCTTCTCGCGCCTCGCCCCTTCCCCATCAGCACCCCCATTTCAAGACTTCTAGATACGCCACTGGTTATATATGCGCCCAAAAGCATCCGCTCGAAATAGCGAAGGAGATGAGGACTCGGATGATGATTTTGATGATTATGATGTGACGATGGTGATGATTATGATGATGATGTGTAGACCTGAAACTGTAATGATGATGATGTCCAGCTATAATGATGATGAAGATGGATGATTGTGGTCACCTGTCGGGAGTGGGAACGAGCGCGGCCCTTTCGACCACTTGGATACGCCACTGACCCCACCCCTCATCCTCGTGTGGCGTTCCCTTTTTTATGGAATTTTGTGTGAAAATATTAGGCCTAATGGTTAGTTCCTCCTGAGAACCACGTGGTCCGATAATCCGTATTATTGCCTGGGGGTGGTGGTGGTTTGTGCCGCGGCCGCCGCACGCGTACCTCCGAGGAATAAGACGGGCTAATTCTCCTGGAATTTCAGCTATTTTAATATCTCAATCATGAATTCCAAATAAAAGATTGCTCCTGTTGCTGCCGGGGGTCAGGCGGTCTATTAAAGGGTGCCTCTCACCCCGTTCTTCATTCGTGGCAACTGTATTCTATATAAATAAAGAATTCAGGCTACAGTCCTTATTTTCAACTATAACAACATCATCATCATAATCATTATCATTAGGCCTATCATCACTATCATCATCATCATTATAATCATCAACATTGTCGGCGTCACCATCAGCATAAAGTGCAAATTAAAACGATAAAAAACAAATCTCGCAAATTAGCAGTCGTTTAATTCACCATCGCTTTTAAATTTATGGTAGCAATATTTTAAGATTTTTGTAGAAAAACACGTGTACATAAAACTATTTTTACGTAGTTCTTATGATCAGTTACCGGTAGGCCTACTACATTCTATTTTCATAATGAAACTGATTCATTATATTTATTGTAAGAGTAGAAGCTGTATGTCCTATTGTTCCGTTATGATACAACACTATCAAGTTTAAATATTATAATTTCATTAAAATATTTTATTATTTCAAATAGGCCTACAAATCTTCACTAACTCCAGCTTCTTCGTGTGAGCATGAAAAACAAAATACTAGTCATTGTTTTGTTTTATATTAAATTTTGTTGAATGTGAAAGAAAAAACAATTCAAATTAATAAAAAAAAAATTAATATCAAAAAATAATAGTCAAAATTGTTTTTTCCAATTGTACTATGTTCATAATTCATTTCCGTCATGTAATTCAAAGTCGCATTTCGTTCGTTGGCGGCGCATTTCTTTAGAGCAGCCTTTCTCGTCTGACTTGTCAACACACTCGGCCCTTCCATTACATCGTCTACAATCTTCTATACACATGCCATCATCACACTGGAATTTTTCCATAGGTTTTCCATGAAGAATCTTCCCTTCAAATCCATTAGCACAATACTCTGCCAAAAAAAAAGAAAGAAATTATTAAGTGGCTTAAAGCCCTATTTAACAAATTGTAGGCCCTATCTGAACTAAAAACTTATTGACAGA